GCTGCTGGCTCCAGCTGAAGTCCCCAGTCCTCCGCCTCTTTCGTGTGTGGACCGTGTCCCGGCCCCGGGTCTATCGAGGAAAAATGAAGTTAAGTCGCCAGTTCACCGTGTTCGGCAGCGCGATCTTCTGCGTGGTCATTTTCTCCCTGTACCTGATGCTGGACAGGGGTCACTTGGATTACCCTCGGGGCCCGCGCCGGGAGGGCTCCTTCCCGCAGGTAAGCACCTGGCAGCGGGCGCGGGGCTGGAGGGGCTAGCCTGGGGGCTCTCTCTTCTTCCCGCCGACGCTCGGGGCCGGGGCAGGGTGAGGCCACACCCGGCGACCCGGCGGAGCCTCATCCGGCCCAGGCTCTGCCGCGCTCGGAGAGCCGAGTTCGCAAAGTGCTGGCTGGGCGTCGTTCTGTGGCAGCCTCCCGCTCGTCAGCAGTGGCCTTGTTCCGGCTTTCGCACCCGGGCCTGTGGAAATGGTCTCGGGCACCTGCTGGCGGGGAACCGGCGCGGTAGCAGTGTCGCTGTGGGTCGCCCCCTCGGCTAGCTCAGGGTTAAGCCGCCAGAGGCTGCCCAGACCCCACTGCCCGAGCGCAGGACACCTAGCCCACCTAAAAACCAGGTTTCTGTTTCTGCCCCCCCCCCGTCCCCCTTCATTGTCTCTTAAGAGATAAAAAGTTTTATTTCCTGTTGCAGCCCCTTCGGATGTGGATAGTAGCGTTGATTTTAGTGTCGTCATTCTTCAGCTGTTACATAGGATTGATTTGGAGCAGAGCGGGGAAGCGCGTGTTATACTCCTGCTGGAAGCTGTGCGGCGCTCAGTTCTGTGCAGGGTGGTCAAACTGGCAGAGGAGTTGCAAAATAATTAAATAAATAAATAAAAAAAGACCCACCCAAGTCTTTCAGGAAAAGTTACTAAAAATAAGCAAATCGATGCCATGGGTTGCGTTTGGAAGGTGGTCACGCAGCGGTTGTGAGTGGCCTTTACAGCTCTTGGCTGTTGACATACGCACATTTTAGTGAAAGCAGATGTGGTGTGGACAACGTCGAAGGATCCAAATATTGACAAGCTAGCAACTCGTCGACTAGAGAAATCTATGACCTATTCAAATAAGGCTGATGTTTATTTATTTATTTTTCTTTCACGGTTTAGATGCCTGGAAACAATCCTTACCGTTTCTTCTGATATGCTAGGGTGAATGGCCTGGGAACGGAAATTGAAGTACACGCTTTACTTGGGAGTATCATGAAATTGAAATGAGGACTTAGGGACTCTATCTTTGGTACAGAGCACTAGGAATAATTTTTAGAAGAGTGGAATTAAAAGCCTGGCAGCAGACAGATGTTTCCAAGCTTCTGCTTTCCCTAGACAGTACGATAGAGAAAATATATAAACCAGCACTTTTGGCTGCCTTTAAATTTTGAACTTGCAAGTTTGCACCAGGCCTGTTCATGAGGCTGAAGTAATCAGTGTGACAACAGGTAAATGCATGCGGCCAGAGCCCAGAGGTTCCGAGCTTTGTTCCATATTCTCTGTAATTTTGGAGTTAAACTTACTGTGATCCTCTTAACCTCATTTCCAGAATTTCCTCCATTACAGGAAATATGAAAAACAGAACCCTTTTACTTAGTGATGTCTTAAGATCCCCTGGCTCTGGCTGGGTGATCACTTGAACATGATTTTTGCAAACATCTGCATGGGGTTCTCTGGTAACCTTGACTTTTCCCTCTGTTTTAAAGCAGTGAGTGACTCATTCCGTTACTGAGAAATCTTAAGCAGTTAATTCTCCTGTTTCCGTATGAGCCCCTACCTCACTGAGAAGTTGAGGTTCTGCCTAGAGTGTGCAGCGCGTGCTAGGAGCTTTGGTGTAGAGGGCTTCAGGAGAAGGTGCCTGTAGTGTAGTGGCGTCTTTTCTGACAGGGAGAGAGGGCTTGGCAGTGCGGCCTCTCTTATCTGGACCTCACTGCAGAAAGGGTTACTATTGGTGGACCCCGCAGTCTCCCAGTGGATCAACTTCATAAAACCCTCTCTGCAAGCCTGAGAATCATGTGTTTGGCTTTAGCTGGAGTGCCATTCAGTTGATGTGGAACTGAGTTATTACCGTGCCCAAGCTCACACAGACAAAATCTGGGCTTGAACAGGCAGCTCTTAGAGTGCAGTCTCCGAGCCACCAAGCCGTCTTGCCTCCTGGAACCCTCTTGCTAGAACTGGTCTCCAGTCTGCTTTTGCTAGGTTGCTGCTGAACAGAAACAAACTTGCTGGTGGCACCGTAGCTTATGCTCTTGCCCGTCCCCCACCCAAAAGTGACTGTTATTCTGGAGGCACAATGGATGTGGTTCTTTGGCTGGAACATTCACCACTTCAGATTTACGCTTTTCCAGAAGGTCTTCTAACTTACCTCACAGCTGAACGGTATTACAATGAAAACCGTTACAGAGCAGAGCAGCCCACACGTAGGTTCTTTTCTGTATCTAAACTATAGGTTAACTTCAATTTCACAGTACCAAGCATAGCGAAACTGTTGCAATTTGTTTCTTTAGCAGATTTTGGTGGTGAATTCTTGAGTTTAAGTAGTGCCCATTTTGTCATTGCATGTGTGTTTAGTGTCTTGTACCAATACAACTGGAGGTTGGTTATATTGTGCATTCTAGTTTCTTTCACTTGATGTGGTAACTTCATTAAGGTGTGCGGTCCATGCAAACTGTATTTAAGACCGTCCTACATTGAGAGCAATCTGTGTTTGATGTTCTTTGGACTTTTAGTCTTTCAACTTTGTTTACTGCCACCTGATCAGCTCCGCCTCCATCCCACCCCCAGAGCCCTGCCTGCCTCCGGGAACCTGCTAAGAGGGCTTTCCCTAAGTGTTACTGTAAGAACTACTTTAAAGCCAGAGGCTGTGGCTGCCTGTGGCCTATATTCTTATGGTTATTTAACTGATCTCAACTAAAAAAAAAAAATTAAAATAAGAAGTAGTAGTAGTAGAAGAAAAAAAAGAAGAAAAAAAAAAAAAGAAGAAGAAGAGGCAGCAGCAGCAGCAGCAGCACCACCACCACCACCACCACCACCACCACCCAAACAAAACTCCAGTCTGGAGAGAGGTTGGCTGGGACCTAATGCTGTGAAAATACTTTGTTAGCTATGAGATTATGAGCAGAAGGATGGAGAAATCAAATCTCCCGGAAAGGGCTGGCCATTCCAGCATAGCTGCTACTGTGTACCCCAGGAAAAATGACAAGTTTCATGCTTGTATCTAGAGAATTAAAACAAGGAATCAGGATTCGTATAACAGAGAATGCTTTAGCTAGTATAACCTATGACGTAGGGGCTGATGTTAGTGTCTGAACGTCTGTGTAGAAGTTAGAGAGTGATGAAAGGTGTGCAGGTGACGTTTGATCTTTGGACTCAGATAACATTTACCCAGTGAGAAAATGAAAGTGTGTTGAAGTACTTGATTTGAAAGCCATTGTGAGAGGGACTTTGAAGCCTTAAATGAACCCTTGACACTAGATGTTTAAATGCTTTATACCAGTAGCATATTTTAGCACTTGGGAAACTGAGGGAGGAGTACTGCTACGTGTTCTGGGCCAGCCTATATAATGTAGACCACACCTACATATAAGAGAACACCCACACATAACCAAAGCCACACTAGTAAATTTTGAGCACAGCACAGAACACGTTGATGAAAATGGATCCCCAGCAGTAGGTATGAAGACCTTCATGTCCTAGCCGCTGTTTCCTTGTTTTTGTAAATCATTTAGTCTGAAGCATGACAATGGGGTGGGAGTGCCCTACCATCCCCACCAGGCACTGTACTGTCGACAATAGCTGCTGTTGCTGGGCTTCCTATAGGGATCACAGGGTGGTTGTATGGTTTCCTGAGCTGTGATGATTGAGATCTTGGACTTTTGGGAAAGGATGGCGCTTTGATGGCAGCTGTGATTAGAAGTTCAAGAACTTTCAAAATCTTGATGTGGGTCAGTAGTCTTCTGGGACTCCTCTGCCAAGCACCGGTCTCACTTGGGCTTCTGAGAGAAGCTCGGCCAGATGCCTTGGCCACATCTGATCTGAAGGCTTTATTTTTAAAACTGATTTGCATGTATTGTTCCTGGATCAAGACCTGAAGAAGTGCTTTGATAACAGGTGTCAAGAGTCTCTTTATGCAAAGGGATTGTTCTGCTAGTTATTCATTAGTCTGAAGGAAATTCTGCAGTATGGGCAGCACATTGATGAAATCTACCGCTTTTGTGTGTTTTAACTGTGTTTGCTATTGGTTTTTGTGATGTTAAAATGTTTACCTAGAAGACCAAGAAGCCATTCTTGCTGCTCCCTCCTGGTCTCCAGCTGTATCCCTTCAGAGGCCTCAGTTTCCCCTGGTTGTTTCTCTATTTCCAGAGAAATCTCTGTAAGAAAACCAAAGGCTAGTCACTGCTCAGGTGAGCTGTGGTTTCTGACTTATAAAGGTTTTGTTATATTTTTGGATCCTATTCCTTCATGGTCCAGTTACTGATGTGGCAGCAGCTCCTTACACTGTTTCTGTGGAACTGTGGCGAGGACTATAAAGGAGAGAACTTTGCTTCTTTCCACAGTCGTTGATAGGACATCGATTGGGAGAGGAAGCATTTGAATTTAAATGGTTTTAATTTCCCTTCCTAAGCCACACTGCTAGTTTTATGGTTGAAACCTTGTTCAAATTCGGACTTTGAGAATTGCCTGCACTGTAATGGAGCTCATACCCTGTCCTTCAGTGAGTATTGCTGTTGATTTCACCTCAAGGTAAATTCCTTGATTGGATAAATTCTGTCTGTTGCATAAGTCTAGATAGAGATGGAGAGTGAGTGTTTCAGGTGATAGCATGTGTACTGCTGTACAGATCCCATCAGTCTTTAGTGTTAGATTTCTGAATCTAACATAGTGTTTCCTAAAGAAAAGGCCAGTGGTGAGACACGACTGCACACGGTGCTCTCCACTCCTTCATCCCAGGGTGTGTTTTTTTTTTTTTTTTTTTAAAAAAAAAACTGCTGTTGATATGTTTTTAGGCCTGACAATTCCTCATTGTTGGGCTTGCCTCTGCATCATAGGGTATCTGGCAGTACCCTGTTCTCTTCTAAGTATCTACCGGCAGCCACTTGTCTCCTTGTCCGCCATTTGTAGCAATCAAAAAATGTCCCCAGACATCTGCTAGATATAAATAGCCTCTGGTGGGGTAAACTCCCCATTGAAAATCAG